TGCTGGCCACCAGAAGGCTTACATCCACCTGTAAAGCCTATTAGAAAATGGTTGACATGCCAGCTCAGACCAGTTTATCTTTATTATTAAGGGATATGAGAGAAGATGGTCTTTCTGAAAAAGAAGAAAACTGTTCAATCAATGTCAGGAATCATTGTAATATTGCAAGACCTCAGATAAAAATATGAGAGCTAGTAATGGAGGGCTGCAGTGACTATGTGTGATTTTTGAGTACTGATAACACAAAAGATACTTCTGCACCCCCAATTCTTCATTATAGACTCAGGCTATAAAGGCTGAGTCACTCACTCACTCATGCCTGTGCCACATAACATAACTTAATATCCCCATGCCTAAACTGCACCAACACTTGTTTTTCAATGCGACTACTCAACCATAAAGGTATCTGACAACAAAAAGCTCCAAGATCATCTCACTGAACATTACAGAGGTAGAGCATGTGAGCAGCTGTTGCTTTCTAAGAGGCAGCTTCCTCTGGCAGACACTTGCACTTAAGAGGAGGAAAGCTGGACAGGCTGCAAGTGTTCAGGCTGAGAGTTGCTTCTGGGAAACTGTAGGATTTTCTGCTGCTGTACAATATTTGATTGTGCCAGCCCTAAAGGATGATGGGTGCTAGAGCTCCATTTTACCAAGTTCTTCTTGCTTTGTCATATCAACATGGGGAAATGAGGATATAAAATCCTAAAATCAGTCATGGTAGTCATTCAGGGGTAGAGGGTATAGCTTTCTCCTGCAGTAGCTGAACACATTTTTTTTCTTAGTGTTTTTTCTTTTTAAAGAAAGAAATAACTCTAATGGCACTTGTGCATCATAAAACAAAGAACATAAACTTTGCACTGTGAAGGCTGTATTTAAAAAGAGGACAGCTGGAAGTCAGATACTTCTTTGCCATCTTCTGATGTTTAGAAACAAAAGTAGTAACTTGTGCATGGTGAATTTGAAGCCTGGTCTCTGAGAGACACAATTGCAAGCAGTCTGTCTGAACTGAGAAACACTGACTGGGAAGACACAATAGAATAGATTGTACCTTTATAAAGTGGAGTTGTAAACCAGTTTGTATGGAAAAAGACAATGGAAGTTGTGGCCTAAACTCTACTGAGTCACAGCAGCTAACACAATACAGCATAAGTGACATTCTTTTTCTCAAAGAGGCTCAAGGCTCACCGAGTCTGGGAATTCAATTACCCTCTCAACCCTAAACAACCCCTCCTCCCCTGTTGCTCTTCTACTCAGGAGCTCAGATCTAATGGCAGAACAGCCAGCACAACTACACTGTACATGGACTGTAAATATCCAAAAAGCCTCAGGCTTTAGAGAGCAAGAATCCCTGACCTTTTAAGATTGCTATAGCAGTTTTCCAACAAAACAAACTATATACAATAGAGCTCTTAAATACCTGACAAAGTAATTAATTTTCAGTACACTGCTGTCTAAATACTCTATATTAATAATGAATCATGTTTAAATAAGCACCTGCATGCAGTACTGCTTACTGCTTACACAGGGATGAGGACAAGGAATTTATTGAACTGAATCTCCTCTAAACAAGTAGAAGGGTACCCTGCTGAAGAGATTTGCTTAAGTGAGTGATGCAGAAAGATTCAGAAGCAGGAGAGGGACTTCAATAAGCCTAGAAAGTGTACCCTGATTTCCTGGATTTATTGACCTCAAATACCTGAATTTTCTACACTTCACCTATTTATTTTGTCTAGAAGTTAACATATCTATTTATACACTTTTGCACTAAAAAAGAAAGTTTATTTACAAGGTGAAAGCAGCAAAAAAGATTTAACATTTTGAAAAGTATTTTCAATGACATGTAAAACACCCTTGGTCACGTGAAGTAAACACTTCACGACAATAATACAAAAATATTCAGCAAGCAGACTGCTGAATGATATCAGAGTCATTATTTCAGTAAAAGTTTAGAAAAATGCAGAACAGTGAAAAATTACTTACTGGTACCAGTAAAAACTTTCAAAATGATAAGTCAGAAGTGTGGTTTTCAAAAGCACACCATTCTTGTTTTCTGTCTGCTCTAAAGGTGCATGGTGCAGGTACCCCAACCACCACAGCAGCAGAATAAAGAGGGAGGAGGACACTGCAGGAGCAGCCATGGTGGTGGGCTCTCATGCAGACTCTGCCAGGGCCATGCCTCCAGGTGAATCATTTCAACTTTCAGTACCCCTCTATCGACATCCATATTATATCTATTGCTTGCTTGGCAGAAAGCAAGGAGTTTTAAAATGCAGTAATATAATAACAGTAGTACATACCTATATCCAGAAAAAAATTCCTATTAACAAAGGAAACCAGAAGAATTTACTGTTACGTTTTCCGAAGAACAGAATTTGTTACAATAGAAATATTTTCTAGCAAAGGCATCAGAAACTAATTCATCAGAAGTAAAATTCAGCCTAGCAGACTGCAGCCATCAAGTCACAATTGGGTTCCCTCTACGCCGCACTGTTTATTTCCCTGAGAAGTTGCTTGGTAGATGAATTACAGGAGGCACAGCCATTGACATGGAGGTCACAAATATGCAGGACTTCCTAGCCTTGTTTCTCAGCCTATGACTTCAGCTACTTGCTTAGCATATCTGGTTGTGGGTTTTTCTCACTTTCTCTTCTTCTTGAGTTTGGTTTTTTGTTTTGTTTTGCTTTTCTGCTTGTTTGTTTATTTTTGAAGTCACCATTAGCAGAAAACGACTACCTGACTTTTCAAAACTTCCTCTGTGTGAATGTTTCCTGCTATCTATGCAATTATCAGACACCAATATGAGCTAAAAGCAGTGGCCAAAATCATTGTATACCTATTATAAACACTAGTTTCAGAGTCAATACAGAAGCTATTAATAGATAGGGATAGGGTTCAAAAAGAAAGGCTATAAGTACATTTCAGTAATCTAAGATACTTAGGTTTTTCTGTAAAGAATCTTAAATCTCCTGAGAGAATAGCAGCATACTGCAATTCTTTTCTAAAGCAGGATTTCCTGATAAAACAGCAACTGATCAGGTCACCTGCTCAGGGCAAAACCAGAGTCTTACCAAGCATCTGCAGCTTCCAAGATGATTTAAAAGAGTTATCATCAAACAGCCCAAATGCTATAGGGTTGGATCCACCTCACTCACCATCCGACAGGTTAAATCTAGCCCTGTAAGAATGTACCCATTGGTTTCAACAGGGCAAAGACTTCACTCCTTTGAGGCAATTTCCTAATATTATTCCAGTATACCTTTGCCAAACTACAACTCTCCAAGCTCTGCAGTCACTCCACCTTGATTTTCTCTGCTCTGTAATGGATTCACAGAATTCAGAATCAATCAGCTGTTGGCATGACTTACCCTTTCTGCCAAGTTACAAAGGTGCATCGTATTTCTGAGGCTACCAGAGTCTAAAAGACCCACCAAATTTCTCATTCCAGGATGCCACTGGTGTTAGTTCTTCTGACATCTTCCGTTGCAGTCTTCAGTCCATCTTCCCTAGTGCCTTGTTCCCAGCTTTTATGTTCTGATAACCAGGCTCTTTTTCTTTCCTCAACAACACATCACCCTATCCTACCCAAAGCAGTGGCATAACTAATCCTTAATAAGAAAAGACCATCCTGGTAAAACACTTTCATAAAATTTGCTTTAAATTGCTTTTTTTTTTTAAACAAACTACAGCACAATGATGAGACGGAGACTAGCAGTTCGATTACTGCCTTGTACCTTCTCTGTTCAGTTTGCCTGCTTCGCAATGCCTGGAAGAGGTAATAAGCAGCAATATGCTGCATACTATACTATACTATGGTTGCAAACAGATGCCTACATTCATGAAAATAAATGCTGCACTGACAGGGTACAGATTATGTAAGAAAACTGTCTATATGCAGATGCTGGGCATAATGCCAATTACTGCAAACCACATCAACACATAGTTATGTTAAAATTGATACACGCATCTTAATATCTCCTCTTATCCTAATGTTTCTTGTTAAGGTGCAGAATTTGCCAGTGTCTTCTCTGTACAACACAGAGTGCAGCAAAAGGAATGTGGCTGTTAACTCAGACACGGCAGTGCTGCTGTTGTCCACTTCACTCCAGCTTTACCTGGGTTGGCCCTTTCAGCTGCATGTAACAGTGAGACATGTTAGAGCATAAAAAGTGTCCACAAAAATCTTTGTAGCACCCTCAGTAGATTATGAGTCTACTTGGACTCATACAGGCAAATAAATCACATGGCAGCTAATGATTCCACAGATGGGAAGCAAGTTTTAAAAGGTATGGGGCAATCAATATCCAGTCATCTTTAGGCTATCCCAGACAGCCTAATTAATGCTGTCATATCAACTTTGCAGGCATCTTTATTTCTATTTCTGACTGTTAGAAGTCATTTGTAAACCACAAATAGGAATAATGTTTTTAAGATTTCATTATCATTATAGTATAATAGCCTATTAAGAAAGGAAAAGGTACAGGATCTCCAAAGAAGGGGTTCAATTTATTCCTGTAATATTTTATTAATAGTCTAAGTTACTGACTACATTTGCATTAACCAGAGCCTCTTACTATAAACTACAAGAAAACATCTCTTGAGATGACCACCTTCATGACAAATTTCTGCCCAAAGCAAGTTTAAACTATAATTGCTTCTTGGAAAAAAAAAAATCTTTAATGAAAGAAAAGGTTTGTAACTGCAATACCTCAGGTAGCAGCAAAGTCAAATAATTACATTGTAATGGTTAGTTTTTTGAGTATCATTTTATTTGAAAACCATCAAAACCAAAAACTTTAAAGAAAAAGTGACATGGAGAAACAGATTTGCACTATACGCTATCTGTACGGGCACAGAACAGCAGCAAAAATAATTAAAAATTACATGACTGTTGCACTTTAACGCATCTGTTGTAAACACTATTTTTTTAAGACTTTACAAAGATAAACCTTGAAACGCAATCTCAGTAACAGAACTGCAAGTAACTGCAAGCCTGATTTTACCTTGTTTGCAATACTTGTGATGAATGACTTGATGTCCAGATTAGTTGGGCAACTCTTCTGACAGGGAGCATCCGCACACTTTAAGCATCTAGATGAATAAAAGAAAATGTGTCAAGAAGACATGGAACACAAATGCTGCCAATAGCACAAGGTTTTCAAGCTAGCATGGTGGAACATAAGTCACAAAGGAATAATACAGAGCATTTTCATAAAATTTCTATTTAAAACTTCAAAGCACTGCATGGTCATTATTGACATGCATTCAACACTGACTGGTTACGTTCTGTTGACTCCACTTTACAAAGGAAGGCAGCAGGGTGCAGTTACAAACATATGGACTACACATGTCTAAGTATTATGTAACAACATCTAATTACATAGAAATAATTTCTTCCTTGGAATCCAAGATTGCTAAACTTCTGACCATTTCATTTTTCTATTTGAAAAACATCTGTGCTGTAAATCTGAATTTTTAATGAAGTTCTGGAAGTGTCACTGTGAATTAAATTCTGGATGTTGGACAATCAGACATACAAAAGCAACAGTATTTCCACAGAGGAAGGAATTACTTTGTACTGTATGTGCTAAAGAATAAGAATGGCTAACAAATTTTCAAGTCACTTTCCTACAAATTTCCTGTGGTATGTCTGTGACGTCTGAAAACAATTCAATTCAGTAGTCTTATGCATACTCCCAACTGAAATCCCTAAGACCTTCTTGCCATCTCTAATGACAAAATCTACCTGCGTATTAAAACCTGCTAAGTAACATAGATTTATTGTCTGTTCCTGCATAGACATCCATGAGGATGTACTGGGCTGGTTTCTTACACAAGTCCCATCTAAGGATTAAGCCCTCAGAGTAGTCTATACAATTTGCAATAAGCAAACCTAACAAAAAAGCTAAAAGTCAGGTAAGAAGTAAAATGGTTCTCTATTCAACACAAAGGCATTTGTACATACTTTTGGCTTTACATATCAATGATTATCATAGGCCAAATGCCACACTACTAGTTATCTTGCAATTCATTAAGTTATTCCAGATGATCTTTCAATATTGTTTTACTAACATACAGAATTTATGTAAATTGTGGTTTTAACAGTCTATGGAAAATGAAATTAAATTTGGGTTTTACGTATTATCTGAGCACAACTGCTTACACAACTTCCACAAGTCCACCTTAATTATTGTTACTTAGTGATGGATAATAACACGGTGGAACTGGCTAGGACAGAATCTTTGCAAACACAGAAAAGCTGCAAGAGGCCTATGGACTACACGCACAAAGAAATGAAGAGCACATTAAAAGGAATCAAATGCCTGAAATACCTGCAGTGAAAAACTGGCCTTTGTCAATCACATGCATTGCTTTTGGGGTTTTTTTTGGTTTGTTTTTTTTTTTTTGTTTGGGTTTTTTGGGTTTTTTTGTCAAATTAGGGTGGAATAAAAGAGAAGGCAAAGCCAGTTAAGTATAAGATTAATTAGTCTTTCATCTTCCTATTCATTATCATCTAGCTATTGCATCATTATCATCTAGATATTGCAGACACCATGGCACCAATAAAAATTGAAGGCACATGTGGTAGCAGCTTTTGGGATTTTCTCACAGAACTAGTCAGGGGTGAAAGGTCCCAGAGGAAGTATTTAAAGGAAAACAGGTCTCACCAGCTGCAAAGCTGGGAAATCTGATAAAGCCAATTCCAGGTTCAACACCATGGTGGCTTACTAGTTCAACTAGTCAGGATGTTAGAGGGCTCTGGCAGAAAAGCACCAGCAGGTTTAGCTGTGGCAGTTAAACATACCGCTAGCCAGCACTACCCGCTGACAGGCACACGTTATAAATGCCTTAACAAGCAAAGGCAGGCCAGTGGGGACTTCAAAGGGTTAATGTGGCCAGAGCACCAAGTCAAGAGGATGCTCTTAGCATTCTAAGCAGATTGAAAGACAGCAAAGTTTTAGTACTAGAAGCCAGAAAAAAAGGAGCTACACTAGACAAAATAACACCACTATGAGGGCTTGGATGATCATTTTGCCTGTGTAGGCAGTAAGGAAATAATAGAAGTGGAAAATCACATGTTTAAAAAAGGCAACAATTCCATTACAACTGTTTGCTCTTCACTTTCTTGAATGTGGTTTCCTTTAAAATACAACAGTCCTATATCCAAGACCAAAAGAATTGCACTTAACATAAAATCTCATGTCAAAACTGACTAGAATGGCACCTAGCAGAACAAGCAGTGTACAGATTACCCGTTGTGTCTAGCAAGCATCTTTACCAAATTATTTCTCTTTTGATTTTTGAACTGGCTCACAAATAACAGCTGTTGAAAATGTCAGCTGCTGGGGGGGTGGGTAATGCAAACTTGAATGTGAGCTTTGGGGAGGAGGGGAGGGTGCCATGAATATGCCAATCCAGACTTTCTCTTATAATAATACCATCTTCTGATTCTCTGAACACTCTGCAGACTAAAGTGCACCAGGCTGCCATTAATCCCACTTATCACCCTGACAGCTCAGTAATTACACTCCCGCTATTGCTAGGTACTGTAAGGTACTGTAGTCCTAATAAAACATCAAGCACTGTGCAGAACACATGCTGGTGAGGTGTTTTATTAAACTTGGGGGGTTGATCATCAAGTGACATTAGTGTTGACCTATTTTTCTATCTGACAATAGATTATCCTTTGACCATACCATAATAGATATTACAGGGTGCATTTACTGTACCAAGGAGCGAAAGTATTGCATTCTGGTGAACCAGGCAAAAAGCATAAATATAACAGTAGAATCACCCACCAGAAAGTTATTACATAAATAGCTGCAAGTGATTGATCCCTTCAAAAACCACAGGCAAAATACTGTGCTTAAGGGAATACATCAACAATTACCATGAGCTTCAATTCCACATGCACGCCCACATATGAAGAAACATTAAGTATTACACTTCTTTCCTTTTTCTGTAACTATCATCCCACCCTATGAAATCCCACCTTTCATTTTATAAGGTTACTCCATTAATGTGGTTTTAGTTCAAAGTAATGTAAACAACACATTAGAAATTTAATTAAATTTCTCTAATTCACTTGCTAGCTCCTACCAAATTTAAATGAAGAGCTACATGCTCATTATTAAAACAACAAAACAAAAAAAAAAACAAAAAACCCCACACAACAAAAAAACTACAACAAAATTAAATAGCCATGTTTTTAAGTGGTCATACTATTCTAGACTGCATAAAAACACAGAGCACTGCACAAAGCCAGACCTATGCTAATCTCGGAGTACATATCTCAGCATTTCTTAGTAAAAACATAGGAAAAATCCTTCCAACTATCAGAAAACACCCTATTATCAATTTTTCCCCTATTTTTTCATGGAACAACTTCTCCTTTAGAAACATAGAGGCTATGTTGAATCTCAAAAGATACCATATTCTCTTCACGTGCATATATTGATTTCTATGTAAAAGGCAACACCACAATCTTTGCACAACTAAACCCCAACTTGAGAAACTTGAAGAAAAGGAATGATATTTTCCATTTTGGAAGCACTTAGCTGTTGGTTCAACTCAGTTTCATTATGAAATAGTAAATTAAGTTAGATATAAAATCCCTACAAATGCTAAGCAAGTATAGCATATTTATATAAATATTTAAGCAAATATTATCATTTGGCTTAGCTTTATAGACATATCTGCGCCTATATGATGACAGAAACTCACGTTTCCCACACATCTAATTTAAAAATTTACGTCTCTTACCAAACAGTGTTAAATTATGCATAAGTATCCTCAATGAACTTAAAAACGTAAAGATTTTAAATGTTGCAAACTAAAGTTATTTATTGTTTAAGGTGAGAGTGTTTGTAAATCTCTTTCAGGCACAAAATAATGCACGTAAGCGATACTTATGCAGTAGCCCAGCGTTATCAGCTATCAGGTTTGTACCTATCAATTGCATCAGTGCAAAATAAGCACCTAAAACTGTGCATGTACGTACACAAACTCATTCAATCAACCTCCAATAGCATGGGTACTAATAATTCGCTTATATGGGTTTCTGCAGGACACAAACATTCATTTTGAAAAAAGGCTTCCAGCTCTACCTTTCGTAGAATTTTCTAAAACTTTATCCACTACTCAGACAAATAGCCCAGACAGCCACAGTTTTACACAGGTGTCATAATGAGACCAAACACCCGAAACTAACAATCAAACAAAAAAATCTTACATCCTTTTGTGTTCCTGTTCCTTACATTTCACAATGGACGGAAGAGGAGAAAAAGATTATAAAGAAGTGGGGAGGTTTTGTTGCCAGCTTTAAATACCAAAACACAGGAATAGTTGATATAAGGATTTTATGAGTACCAAAGACAAATGATACTTAGAGAAATATTTGTTTTCATTCAAAGTCGTGAAGCAGAAAAAGCAACTCTCACATGCAAGGCTGAGAACTCTGTTGTGTATGTGCCATGTAACAATGAAGACAAAATACTCTTAAATTAGAATTAACTATGAACACAGAATTTTGGACCATAGGAGAAACATATAATCCCCAAGAAATGCCTCTGAACACGAAGGGCATCAGAAATTGTATAAAAGGCAGTGACCACAGACTGTAAAAGCAAGTGGGTATCGTGGTCCTGGATATGTAATACTGGAAAGAGAAACTGCCTGTTAGCAATGCACAGAAAGAAACAAAACATTCAGTATCACGTAAATTGGCAGTACTGGTTCATATTTGAAGAAAGAAGGAAAGACTCCCACATCATCACTGTTGCCTCTTCAATCACCTGGAGGTTCTGCGAGCCTTCTGCAGACACACAGAAAATGGGACAACTTCTCTGTCAGTAAGTTAAGGTGACCAAAGAAAGCAAATTTTAAATAGAGGCACTCTACAGGGTTAGAGGCAGACATGACTTTGCTGTTGGCAGCTACAGCAGGTGCAAGGACGGAAATGAAAGGAAGGAAGTTGTACTGAAAGGAAGAAATGCTCAGAGTTGAAAGTTAGTCTTCAGACACAAAAACCTCCCACCCTAGTGCAGAATAATGGCACTTACAGATAAGGTTATTTTCGGACACTTAATAGG